CGTTCGCCCAGCCAGGAACGCTCGCTGCTCCCCGCCGGGCGAAGCAAAGGCTGCTCACAGCCTCCCGCGGCGGAGGTGCCCCACCTGCCCGGTGCTGCGTGGCAAATGAAATCAGAAGCGAGCAAGCAAATTCCCCTGAAAATGGATGGAGAAAGACAGGCAGCTCTGTAACTCACCCATCAATTCAGTTCAATTAAATTACCTTCTGAGGAGGCTATTAAAGGCTTTTTTAACAGATGTGCTATGGAAGACAGAGTGACAGGAGCCTGGAAAATGGCTCCTAATGTCACGTCTACCTCCCTCCCATGTCACTCAATACAAGTTTGGCGCAGGGCTGAGTTTAATCCGAGAGCAGCCCTGAAGACTCTGCCCCGCAGAGCTGCTCCCGTGAGTGCTCACCCCTCGCAGGGACCCGCCGAGGAACCAGCACCATTGCTTCCCCTGCCTGGAGGGACCTCCAGCCTAAAGCTGCCCCGAGAGAGCCGAGAGGCAGAGGAGGAACAGAGGGCACGTTCACGGGGGCAGAGTCTCCCGTTGCCTTCAGCCAGGGCAGCCCCAGCTCCAACCAGTCCTCCTGCTGGGACCGGTTTTATGGTGCTGTGTGCCACGGCATCGGTGATGGAGCCAAGACCGAGCCTCACCTTTTTCCTTCCTCCACCCAACCCCAAAATCCCTGCTGCAATTCTACGGAGACCAACGGCCCTGCTGCATCCCAGCCGCTGCCAGCTGCTCTCCGTGCCAGTGACATTTAACTAATCAATAGGATTTAATTATGAGTCGGGCTAATCGGGCTGCCGATTAACGCCATGCTAGAGGCATACAGAAATCACAGGAGACGGATTCGTTCCAACATTCGCCCCACAGCGAGCTGCCTGCCCAGTGAGCGGGCCCCTCCGCTGCCCAAAACCTAGCCTGGCTACCTCTTCCTGGGCCAAGGCATCCCATTCTGAAACGGGGCAAACTCTGCGCTTCCACCCTGACAGCCCAGAGGGCACACAGCTTTGAGATGGGAATTTCCCTGCAGTGATAAATATTTATGAGTAAATTCATAAGTAATGCTCAGTGCAGACCTCCAGCGCTTGGCTTCACTTGGAAGTGGGGGAGCATCCAAATGCTCGGCGGGGTGGAAACTCCTGGGTGTTTTCTAGCTGCAGCTGCAGGCAGCGGCGCAGGGAGAGCAGCCCAGGTACACTCGCACCGGCAGCGTCTGCCCTGCCCGGGGCCAGGGAGCTGCCTGCACCCCTGCCTGCACCCCTGCCTGCGCAGCTACCTCAGTCTCACCCAGGGCATCTTCCTCCTGAAAGCAGCAGAGCAGCGGAGCTGCAGGAGAGCGCAGCCCCACAGTGTCTGCGCTGCTCACACCCCTGTAGAACCCCCTATAGCATGTTACTATCTCACTCCATACAGCAGGTTGGGCTTTGCAGGACTGAGCAGAAAACGAGAGTCTCACCACGGCATGGCATGTCAGGTCACGGACCCTGGCGCCTGCACGTTAATCGTATCATTTTCTATCACGTTTTATAGGAGGGGGTGATGCCCAGCACAGCCCGGGGGGCAGCTCGGCTGTTGCCCACGCATGACAGTACAGATCGACATAACCCCGGGAGAGCGCGCGGCAATTGTGCACGGCAGCAGGCGGCGAGGGGAGAGCCCCCCCGCCAGCCTGCCATGCGCCTGCTCCCGCAGTCCAGACACGGGCTCCCACACCGCCCTGATTTATTCTCCCATCGATCCAAGCTGAGATGCAACGTGCCTGAATTCATCCGCGCCTGAAGTGTGAAAGCCAGGGTACGGGCAGGGCTGCTGCCAAGACCGAAAGCCATTAGTGCGAGGCGGCCGCTGGCAG